GTGGTACATATATACAGTGGAATATTACTCAGCAACCAAAAAAGAGAAACACATGTCTTTTGCAGTAACTTGGATGGAGTTGGAAAAGATCATGCTTAGTGAGACAAGCCAGAAAGAGAAAGAAAAGTACTGGATGGTTTCACTCATAAAAGGAGTATGATGGACCAGGTGAGAAAATAACAATAATAATGAATAGCCATATACCAGAGACATTTTGTGGGGGTGGAGTGGGGAATGGGATAAAAAATGGGGGGTTGGGGAGGGAAGTACATGGGATTATTGTGATGGCACTCGTGTGACTTGGTGACTGGAAACCCGCGGGGATTACAATTGAGATGGGGAAAAAAAATGTACAAAATGTTGTAAAAATAAACTTATAAAATTAAAAAAAAAAGTGTCTACTTATAGGCATTGGTGACAAGTTCATTCCAGGAAGGAAAACAAGAAATGCAAATACAACTAAATGTTTTTCATTCTTTGATATTGTTTCAAAGCTCAGAAATTACAGTGAGGGAGTTGTCCTGTAAGTAATTCTGGAAGAATCAGGCTTAAACAAGTTATAGACCTCCTTAGATGTTTACTAAAGAACTTGGATATTTTTCTCTCCTCACTTGGTGTCTTAATTTGGACTTCTATAATAATGTATAAACAATAGAAATTTATATATCATAGTTCTGAAGTTTGGAAATCTTAGGTTAGACTGTAGTAAGTTGAGTTTGGTGAGGCCCCTTTTTGAAGGTGTAGACTACCTACTTCTCATTGTATTTTAGTATTATTGGAAAACAGAAGGAGGAAACAAGATATGGGTCAATAAAAAAAAAGTAAGACTTTTCCCTTTGCCTTATCTTTGCTGACTCAGACCTCTGCTGTGGCACAGGCATGCAGATGCCTGTGCATCTTGTCTCCTTTTGTTGTAATAAAGACATGTTGTTAGAACTTTCCAGGTGTCACTGACTCTTCTCTCATTTGCCAGCATTAAGAAAGAACCTACAGGCCCTCCCTGGTGGTGCAGCGGGTTAAAGCTCAGCACTGAGAAGCTAAAGCCACTTCTGCATGAGTTCGATTCCTGCCTGCCCCAGAGGAGACCACATGGCGTGGCAGACCTCTTCTGACCTGCCCTCTGCTCCCCTCAGCAGTCTACTTCGTCGATCTGTCTGTTCTG